CACTCTTTCTACATGGACAGTGCTGGCCATACAGAGCGAGCCCAGTAACTATTGCCCTGACTGATGAACTGACCGACAAGTGGAAATAATGCTGGTTATTGCTTTGGCTGAATTGCATCTCCCTAAAAAGGTATGTTGGAGTCCTGTTCTTAGCACCTCAGAATATAATCTTATCTGGAGACAGGGCCTTTAAAGGGGTGATCGTTAAATACATGGTCATTAGGGTAGGCCCTAATCTGATATGCCAAGTGTGTCCTCGTAAAAAGGGGAAATATGGACACAAACACAGGAAAATACTGTGTGAAGAGGCAGGCAGAGGTTGGAGTGATGCACCTATAAGTCAAAGAATCTCACTGGTCATTGGTAGCCACCACAGGCTGGGAGAGCAGCAAGTAACAGACTCTCTCTCACGGCCCTTTGAAGGTGCTCACAACAGATTTTGGACTTCTAGCCTCCAGAATAATCATGAGACAGTAAACTTCTGTTGTTTAAGTCATCCAGTTTATGGTACTTGTTATAGCAGCCCTGACAAACTAAGAGTTTAATAAAACTTCTTCCCACACTGCTGTTTAAGCAATGAGGTGTTTCAGAAAATCTGAACTCAGTTGAGACATTCCAAATGTTAAAACATAATTTTTTTGAGGGTTTCTTGGTGTCTTATTTTTACATGCCTTTATAACCTATTTCATTGTTTATATTGCCAGAGCCATGTGTATGTGCATTAGGAGAGAGAGAAAGCACTCCCCACTGCAGGATCACACTGCAATTCCCTGTCCTCCATTTTTCCATCTCACCAAGATTCTAGGCCTGTGTACATACTGTGTTTTTTAAGTTGCTGGGGCTGGGATTTGAACTGCTGTGCTACAAGGCTGGCCCAAAACACCTTTTTTTCTTTTTCTTTTTTTAAAATTCCTACCTTAGCAGCATGATCAATTCACCTGGGAATCATAACGACAGACCCTATACCAGAAATGAATTTTCAAACATTTATGTACTCTTTTACATAATCATGTTTGAGATTAAAATTCTAAGCTGGAAAGCGTTAGATGCTACTGATTTTTTGAGTGTATATCCACATCTCCTCACTTGTGCTTAGGACGACCCACCTGAGGGGGGACCTTGAGAAGAACCACTGTGGCCCAGACACATGCAATGTGCGCTCCCTTGGAAGTGCCTGACCAGGAACAAGCTGTGCATGATAGGTTTGGACCCACTAGGTGTGCAGCTATAGCCTGGGGCTGATGGAGGCCAGTTAGCGAGCCCCATCCACCTGTTTGCTGGCTGTCAAAAGCCACACTCCAGCATCAGCTTTATTAATAGCAGAGGTAGTTCTGAGCCCTCATCTTACTCTTGCCTGTCCCTTCAAAGATCTGGTGCTCCCTCCAGGAAAAGAACAGCCCCTGTTCCCTAGGTTCTTGCACATACCCCCAGCAGTACGTTCTACAGAGAGCACTACAATCCACAACCCATTTACTCCTGGTCTCAGATACCATTCCCACTGCAATTCCTTTCAGCTTCTAAAAGCCAACATGTCGGAGAAGTAGTCAGCATTTTACTTACTAACTTTACTATTAAAGAAGCTCACTGGTCCTGAGATAGTCTTTTAAAATCAAAAAAGGGGCGTTTTTAAGTGCCAAAAGTAATACTGTGAACCTCTATATTCTGGAACAGCTGCACTTTCCCACCCACGTGAGGAAAACAGCATAGAGGGATTTACCTTGAGGACAGAGGCCCGAAGGGGGTGCGGAAGCAGGAGACGCCCCTTTGTCTCCGTTTTCGGAATGCCTGTTCCACAAGTTTGGCTTCTGAGGCAGGGTCTATTCGCCAAAAAGACCCCTTTCCAGGCTCTTCCTGGGAACGTGGGACTTTAATAAAGTAACGGTTCAAAGAGAGGTTGTGTCGAATAGAATTCTGTAGGGAGGCAGAGACATTCACTGATTACCAGCAAATCCAAAACCAAATCCTACTGGCCCCAAATTTGAATGCAACAGGTGCAGGACCACAGGCAATGGGACCAGACTGTCTACACCACAAAGAGACCTGTGTTGGCACATTAGTGGCGTTTCACTGGAGAGAAGCAAAGATGCAGTGACAGTTTTTTCCTATCAAAATTCAGCACACTAGCATCATTACTGTTCTTCATAAGAAAGGCAAAACAAGAAGGCATATGTGGTCTGTAAATATGTCAGAGATAAAGAAAGGCCTGGGGACCAGCAGATGGCGTAATGGTTACATCACTGGACTCCCACGTTGGTGACTTAAAACTCATGCGGGGTGTGTGTGCATACATGCCCAAAATCCTGAGAGGGGAATGGAAAATAAGAGATTGTGGTGTGGCTATCTTCCCTGGGGGGTCATTTCTCGCTACCTGTCTCTCTGGTGAGTGCACGTGCCCTACAGCAAAAACCTCTCTTTAAAAAGAGAGAGAGAGAGAGAGAGAGAGAGACTGCTTGGATCTTACAGAGGTCAAAACTTAAACTGAGAAAATCAATAAATGGGAAATGGTAAGGATGGAGAAAGTATCAATTAGTGCCATAGGCCCAGCATGTGGCATGTGCTGCTAAGATGCTGTGCTTGTGGGCTGGGACCTGGGTTTCAATTCTTGGTCCAACCCGAAGGCCTGGTGTGGTGCATGTGCCTGTGATCCCAGCAACTCAGGGAGAATGAGGCAGAGGACAGGCAGCTTAAGGCTGGCCTGGGCAACACAGTGAGATAGAGCTGGGCACAGTGGTGCATGCTTATAGCTCAGTTAAAAGGCTGAGGCAGGAGGATTGTGACCTAGAAAGATCTTAGAAAAACAAATAAAATTAAAAAAAATTTTTTTAAACCACAGAAAACCTAGTACAATATATGGAAATAATGCTTAATATAAACAAAGGTCTTACAAGCCTACACAAAGATAAAAGATGCACAATGCATGTGGACTACTGTACTGAGATGGTGTGTACAGTGTATTTAAAAATCAGCACAGTAAACACAAACATATAATAAAGTAAATACAATCTTCATAGCTCCGGGCATCAGAAGGAGGGCAAAGATGAAGTTAAAAATGACTGTTTCAGACTTGACACATTTGGGACCAGCAGTTGGCGTAATGGCTATGTCACTGGACTCCCATGTAGCCGACCGTGGTTTGAGTCCTGGACCCGGTGGCTTAAACTCATGCCAGGCACATCTGTGTGCGTGCCCAAGATCCTGAGAGGAGAATGGAGGAGAAGGGATTGTGGTATGGCCATCCCCCCAGGGGTGATTTCTCGCTTTCTGTCTCTCTGTCTCTCTCTTGTCTTTCTGGTGAGCACACACGCCTTATAGCAAAAACCTCTAAAAAAACCATTAGAATTGACACATTTTTAGATGTACCATACAGCATCTGTGATAGCACCCCTCTGTGTTGTTTCTGTTCATTTTAAATGAAGTGATGTGCTGTTAAAGTTCTTGTCCTAAGAGGGCCTAGTTGCAGTCAGTTCTCGGGACGCAGACCCTTACCTGCCAGCCTTTGTCAGCAGTCCTGTAATAGGGGTAATGTTTGGTGATGTGGGCATAGATCCCACTTAGTGTTAACTGCCTGTCCTGGGCCGAGGAGATGGCCTGCACAATCAGCTGGGCGTAGGAGTAGGGTGGCTTCGACTCGTCCTGGGGAGAAACAGAGAGCACAGAGTTACTGACTTGAGAGATGTCTCAGAGCCTGATCTACTCTCATGCTACCTCCTGATGAGGGAATACATGGGTCTCTGTCAAACCAACCCGATGGTCTCTGCCAAGTTCATCGGTATGCTGCATTATACTGGGAATAGTGGCATCTCTCGTGGGAAGGGAAAATTAGGTTTTCATCATAATTGTTTTTCAAGCAGGGTTTTGCTACGTTACAATCCTCCTGCCTCAGCCTCTCAAGCAGCTAGGGCCACAGGTGCATGCTATCACACCTGGCTTTTAGGGTAGGCTAGGAATCGAATTTGGGCTCAGTCTCAGCAGCATTAACCAATGTGCACAGTGTGGCTGGGCTGCATCGTAATGCAGTTCTAAAATCCCTCACCTCCTCAACAAACTGATTTTTAAAACGGTTACCAGATAGTAATGAACTGAGACACAAAGTTATAACAAAAAAGTGTCATTCTTCTCTAAAAGTCTAATTAAAACCCAACACCATTTTGTCAGTAGTAGATGGAACAGGGGGAAAATCATAAAGAGGAGCAGAGTGGGAGAGGCCCTCACAGATGGCTGCACGCTACCGATGGGCATCCATCGTCCGTCAGCAGAGAACTGACGTGTATTATTTGAGTACAAAAAGGATGAAAGAGTGGCGACCCCACCACCAACCATAGCTCCTTTTCATGTGGGCTGTAAGGGTCAACTGGAGAGCATGGCCATGCACCATGCATGTGCTTTGTGCAGCCCACATGGGTCCCTCCTGCCCAGTTGGTCTCTCTACACCTCAGGCACCGGAGAGGGCTCAGACCTTGGGGCTATCCCCTCCAGATGTGTCTGCTTGCTGCTCCGAGGCGGCCTTTGCTGCAAACTCTGCCGCTAGCTGCAGGTCTGAGGTTACATTCTGGACGAAGCGGTAGCCCGAGGACCCAGCTCCACGTGGACTGGCCGGACAGGAGTTGGGGACACTGAGGAGAGAAATGGATGCATGCTAAGTTCACAATCCTGAAAGGGGGACTTTTTCTAGCTCACAGGATTTTAGGACCTACTTGGGCAGTGGGGGAGTGGGTGGGAAAGAACTTCACCTTTCAGTCATAAATGTTATCATTACGTTGCAAAGGGCAGGCGAAATACAACCAAGGAATACATGTTACGGTGTCAAGGGTAAGTCTGGAGATGCAAATATATATTGTCCTGCAATTTCCGTTCCAAGGCCAAGGCTGCCTGGGGCCCCCAACCTGTAGGCCGGGAGCCGAGTGCAGCCTCAGCAACTGCTATGGGCCTTGATCTACCACAGTGATCTGTTACTGCACAGGGCCGCAAGGCAGTCCCCACCAGGCACATCAGCATCTCAGCCCACTGGGGCTGGGCCTTAGCCTGAGATCACAAGCCAGTGGCAGACAGTGGAGGAAGGACGGAAAGGGCACCAGTGCAGGCTGCTAGCCAGTGTGAAGGTGCCCACAAGATGGCACCAGAGGCAAGGCTGGGCTCCACAAGCACTCCACATTTACACAGGAAAGACTGCAGGATGGCCAGGAGGCGCCATGGAGCTGTGGGATTAGGAATCAAGGGCAAATGGAGCTGAGTTGGCAAACAGGTTTCCTCCTGAGCCAAGGCCCACTTCTTTCTGCGGCTGGAGTAACCATCACTGCCGGGAACCACAGCCACATGTGTTCGGTAATGTGCAGCCAGGTCCACGCTGTGTTCATGCTCCCTGCTGCCCGTTAGAACAGGGCTCCCTGATCTCAGGGCCACATCTGCCCACTACCCATGAGCTTTGGCCTGTTTTCTGTAATTAATTATGACAGACTTTGGTGGTTAAACCACTTCACAGTTTTGATGCTGGAAATGATCTGTACTCACAACATTCAGAGAGAACCAACCAGAACACTAGAAGTGGGCACAGGACCCCATATAAAAAGCATTCCTGTGGCCATCCTGCTCCATGAGGCACCACCCACCTCAACCCACGTGGGTCTCAGGCTGGGCCAGCCTTCCGGATACTCCTCTACCGCCCGCCCCTCTGAGTGCCCAAACCAGGACAGTCTTGTTCTCAGCATGCCTCCTGTTCCTGCTTCCTCCCTGTCTGGGCACCATTTCCTCTGCCTGGAACATCCTTCCCCCAATTGTCTAAATAGTGAGACTTCTCCCAATCTCTAAATGTCAAGCTCAGATGTCACCTCTTATGAGCCACTCCTCAGAGCACAGGCTCCTCAGCACTTCCTCAGCCCTGGATGCACCTGCTTGTCTCCCCCATAGGCAGGGAACTACCTCTAGGGTTTAGGAACTGTTTGATAGAGCAAGGGATGAATGAAAATATAAAATATTGGGACTGAGAAAAATGATGAATTCAATTCTGGTAGCTGAAGGACTACCAGGATTGGAAATAATCAATGTAATAAACTGTGTATAAAAACTTTAACCTACAACTGTATATGGGCTTGTTAGAAGTAGGAAGCAATTGGGACCAGCAGTTGGCGTAATGGCTATGTTGCTGGACTCCCACATAGTCGACCCTGGTTTGAATCCCGGATCTGGTAACTTAAACTCTTGCGACACACTTGCGTCCCAAACCCAAACATCCCTATCCCTTGCCATGAACCACCACGCTGAGGAGCCACACAGACACAAACAACAACTCACAACAGAAAATGAAACATCCAGTTTGAACGGAACCAGAACTCGATAGTTTCTCTTGGAAACCCACTCGTGGTCAACATGGACACTAATGAGGGAGCATACTTCTGTGTCCTGTCAACAAATGGGGATTTCTGAGCACCTGCAGGAGGGATTAGCTACCTGCTCCAACTGGTTATTTTGTTAAAGGTGATAGAAAATTAGGGAACCAGCAGATGGCATAATGGTTACATCACTGGACTCCCACATAGTTGACTATAGTTTGAGTTCTGGACCTGGTAACTTAAAACTCACACCGGACATATGTGCATGTGTGTCCCAAATCCTGAGAGAAGAATGAAGGAAAAGGGACTGAAGCATGGCCATCCCCTGTGGGGGGTGATTTCTTGCTTTCTTTCTGTCTCCCTGGTGGATACATACGCACCCTATAGCAAAAGTCTCTCTCAAAAAAAGAACAAAAACAAAAAAAAGTAATAGAAAATTTGTATCTAAGCCTCAGGAGGCAAACCCAAAGAAAGGCTGCCATTCCCAATGGAGTAATTCCAAATGGAAATAATAAACAAGGCTCGGCAAAAGCTGGCTCAAAAACAGAAGGAGGGGCAAGAGCGGTGTCTACCACTTTTGAGAACACTGGCCTGGTGTGTGCTGACAGTTCCTCTCTGGGGTCGATTCAGCTGGGACAGCATACAATGCAGCAGTTGCTGGCCCGCTGTGGTTCCCAGGGGGTTTTCCGGCAGCGCCTGGCTGGGGGAAAGTGTGTATTTGCTCACACAGCTTGCTGGGTCCTCAAGCAGCCTGTTTTTCAATAAATCCCATTGAGCTGTCTTCTCACAGGCTGGCTTCCACCAAGAGGGCTGTGCCTGGTACCAGGCCACCCTGACATCAAACCTCCTCTGAGGGTGAGTGGGAAGCAAGATGCCACGTGAACTTCGGGGTGATTTAGAGCCATAACAGGCTCAAAAAACAATTCTCAAGGTCCCAAGCCTTCAAGGAATGGGTGTATCTGAGCTTCAAGCAAGGTTTCTAGTCCTGGATGCCTCCTGGGAAAACTAATTGAGAAATTTAAGGTCTAACATCAAGAGTCTTGTCCTACTCCACTGAAAACTTGCCTGACAGCTAGCAATTTGGAAAACCTTCTTCTTCATCATCTTTTTTTTTTTTTTTTGCTATGTGGCACGTGAGAGACAGAAAGTGAGAAATTACTCCCTAGGGGGATGGCCACACTGTAATCCCTTCTCTTCCACTCTCTCAGGATCTTGGGCATGCAAGCACATGAGACTGGTGTGAGTTTCAAGCCTCCGTGTCTGGGATTCGAACTGTAGTTGGCCATGTGGGAATCCAGTGCCTTAACTACTATGCCACCTACTGGCCCCATTGTAGAACATTCTTAAAGAGACAGTATAAACACCCATGTTCTCTCTTCAAGGGCAAGAAGAGAACTAAGCTGGAGGAACTTTGCACCTCCCAGACAGAGACAACCCCTTTCTACATCGGAGGAAAGAGTCCAAGGACTTGGCTGAGACCACCAACTACCCCGGCTGCTCAGGCGTGCGGGGTGGGAAACCTGAATTCTGGGATGGTCAATCAGCAAGGCTCTGGAAATATCACATGGAACAAATGTCTATTTTCCCTCAATTTGAGACAAAAAGTGGGTTTGAAGTGAACAAGTGATTTAAACTGTTAGTCACTAATTTCTTCTCCCTCTTGTGGAAAAACAATTCCCGAGTCACAGCTGTCCTTCTGGCTTAGTGAAAGCTGGAAGGTCCTGAGTGGCAATTTCCCCTGGCGGGTGTTGGGGGGCAGTCCCTGGGCAGCCTGCTCTGATTCTGTGCCCTGGCCTCACCAGAGTAACCCCACACTGGCCCTGTGACAGCCTCCATACTCCTGGGAGCCAGGCCTAGAAAGTGCCTTCTGGAATTGTCCAAGATACCCCTGGCAATCCCACTGCCTGGTGTGTCTAGGGCTATTTGAATGAATGGACAGCACACAGGGCAGGAGTGGGCTCACTCTTTTCCTGCTAAGAATTCAAGGTGAGGAAAACAAATCTGACAGGAAAGCCAGTGCTGCCACTGAAGTCACCCCAGAGCCACCAAGAAAGTGGACACTCCTGGTTCTGTCCTGAGACTGTGCACAGGACCCTGTGAGGACCAGGACCAAGGAAACCCACAGGATCGGAGCCCACCTGAGCTGAACTGGGAGACCTCCTGTCATTCTCCTCCAGGTCAGTCTTAAGGGTCCAGGTAGAGACTGAAGGACTCTCCAGTGTGGGGAAGGCAGCTCTGCCAAAGTAAAATGGGGCTACTTCTGTCAGAAGGGGCTAGATTCCTCCATGACCCACAAAGAACCAGATGAGCCCAGACTCTGGGGAGGCTGGAGGAAGAGCCTGGGGTTGAGCTCAGGGCTCATGGTGGAGAGGCCCCACTGCAAGATACCTGAACAGTGGGCCAGGGACACTATGGGAGTGTCCACATCCTCTACCACAACGTGGGTGCCTGGGCATCCTCAGGGGAACTCACTGACAGTGGTCATTCAGGGTCCCTACCTGAGCTTCTGCTGAGGACACCCGCCCCAACACCACCACCTCAGAGCCAATCCATGGGACTTTTCAGTACCTCCTCTAAATACGACAGTCAACCGAGCACACCTGCTGTCTGAGGAAAGCATCTACCACACTGGGCAGGGTGCACAACAAAACAAAGGGCAAAGGGAACTCGGATGATGACGCTAACAGAGGCCAGGGAGAAGACAAATGTCTGGACAAACAAAGCACGGTTAACAGCCCTGACAAAGTAAAGCTACTGCATCTAAGGCAGCATCAAGAACGCAATAACAAGCACATTTGAAAAAAAAATCCTCTTAAAAATTAAAAAAAGATAGAGAAATAAAAATCAAATCAAGGAGAGAATGAGGAACTCCCAAAGAGCTGAGAGAGAGACGAAAGGAGAGAAAGGTAAGAAAATGAGAGGCTCTGCTCAGAAAGTCCATCAAACACTCCAAGTCCCAGAGAAGAATACAAATACGGAGGGGGAAATGTTCTAGAAATGACACAATAATTTCCTAGAACCGTCGGAAACGAGTCTTCAGACTAAGAGGCCCCCATCACATGCCCAGCCCAAGCCTAGCTCCATTGAGGTGCTGCACCCTACAAGGGGCACGTGGACCCCAAGAGAGCCAATGGGGAGGATGAGGACTGGAACAGCATAACGTCTTAGTTGCGACATTCAAAGCTGGAAAACAATTTTAATTTCTGGTGGAGAAATATTTCCACTCTAGAATTTTCTATCCAGTAAAACCATCTATTTAGTGAGAATGAAAAATAAATTTCCAGACA